GCTTCCGGTACACAGGTGCGCGTCCGGCATTTAATGGAAATGAAAGTTAGAAAGAGAAGAGAGAATGCATTCATGGAATCGATTAGATCGAGGGTGGCGAATAATTTCAGTACCCGATAACAAGGTGATGTGAAGCCATGCGTACGGCTATGGGAATTTTCGGAGTCAACTAGTCCCCAACGCATATTTAATTAACCCTAACGATCGTATTTATTCAAAAATACCATTGATATCACCTGTTTATGAATATAAATCGCGTGGTGAACTAACATCTGTCACATAACCGTGAAATATATACTTTACATGTTTTTTTTTTTTTTTTTGGAAAATATTATTAGATACAAAGGGACGATAATTAAATTCATGTTTTTTTTTCTTTTTCCAGAATCGAACGGACGATTCAAGCTCGGAGGTAGGATGCGGTATACGATGCAAAATCGACCAAGTAAGTGATTTAAAACTTGCTCATCGGTGATGCTTAGATAGATCTATATTGAACGCTATGTTGTACGCTGACGAGTTAACAGAAGTTTCGGAATATCTTCTTCGATTGGGCGAAGACTGGAGCCTTAAGTTCAGTGATAATGAGGATAATTTTCGCATCGGTTGCGGCGCGAATTTAAAGTTCGTCGGGGAACATTGTCGAACGTTTATTAACATAGGCGAACGTCGAGACGAAAATAAAGGGACGCCGGTCCCCTGGCACAATGAGTACTTCCGCTGCCGTCCCCGGGGGTGCTTGTTCGGTAGAGAGACGGTAAATGACAAATAAAAACAAAGTCAGGTCCTTCGCCTCTCTCTCTCTCTCTCTCTTCTCTCTTCTCTCTTTTAGAGCGTATATACGTAGCCAAAGGCAATGAATGGATAAACGTATATACGTATTACGCGTACGAATGAAAGAATGGCCGGGCTCGTACGGCTTCGTAACTTTAAATTGGATCGCGTACAAGTGCGGCCTATGGCGGATGTCGCCAAATTACCGTGTGACTCCGGATTCGCTCTCTCTGTTTACCCATCTCTTTCCGCTTCTCTGCTTCTCTCTGTCTCCCGTTTCACCCTGTTGCGGAAATCCATGGTGAACCGTGAATCCGACAATGTTTTTTTCACACTTTAATGTGATTTCACTTAAATATCGGACTTATCGATTATGGTTAAGGGAGTTAGAGACAAGACAAAATCTAACATCTTGTATGTTATTGAAAAGGAAGGTGAATTAACTGAGAGTCGAGTGAAATCGAGAGAGGATCGTTAACAAAAAATTTCAGCCGAAAGTTTCAGTACAAAGGGAAAAGATCCGGGGATAAGAAACCGAGAAAGGATCCGCCCTATGGCCGGAAGGATATCCAGCAACGCGTGTCTCCAGGCTAGGAAACGAGAACTGCAATTAATGTACCGAAAAGGATAAAAGGGCCTACGATACGTTTAATTATCGCGTGCCATCGAAAAAAAGGGCGAAGAGGAACGCGACCATTAAGTACTCTGTCCCTTCCTCCTCGCGAGGATGTCATATTTATTGTGCTCGATCGCGTGCATTTTTTCCTCTTTTTTTTTTTTTAAATAACTTGATGGCACGAGGTTGCGTGCTAGCGAGTTGAAAAGCCTCGAATACCACAGGTTGATACGTGAATTGAGCTCGATTCCCTCCCTCGCCTCGTTTCACGGTTCGTACGTTCCAGTAACGCGCGCGAATAACGGTTAGGCACGACACGATTCAAAAGGAAGATGCTCTACTTTTTGCTAAACGCAACCCTAATTGCCTTCCTCCGTTAATCCAACAAAAATTGCCCGCAACTAGCCGTTAAACTTTACCTCGATTTACTCGCGTGCTCCCCTTTTTCTCCTTTACGTAATTTTAAAACAGAGAATGGATGCGAGAGAATTATAAACACGATACGATGAATTTTTATGGACATAATTTTGATTGGACAAGTTCGTGTGCACCGGGCTTGGCTTTGACGCTTCTTCCGGCAATTTCACGGATCGATTGCAACGGCAAACCGATATCCGTGTAATTTCTTTTGTACGAAACGTTACGTTGTGTGTATATATATATTTTTTGATAATGCAATATGTAATACGAAAATATAATATCGTATAAGAAAATATAAGATATTCTATATATGGCTGAGCGCGTAAACAAGAGGATAGTAAGTGAGGATTTCTTACTCAATCTTCTTTGGCGAAAACATATCTGACAGCCCGATTTTACCCCATTCGAGTGTGTTTGTAAAGTAGCAGACCACCAGCACCCGGGATCTCCGTGACAAATCGCACACTTGACATTGACTACCACCACTTTCCCTTCTTCTTCTCCACGTCTTTTCTCGATCATTATACCAATAAACAATTTAACGTGTACGATTTATCGTAAACGATCGTCTCCCTATTTTTTTTTTTTTTTAAATTAACGGAAATTAACGTTAGACGAGATACGGAAGCGTTGTGTGTGTGAATCTTCAAGATTCCTCGTGATTAATATCTTGCGTCGCGCAATCGGGGGGGTTGAAGCGAAACGAGGAGAGAACGAATAGATCCTCGTTCGTGGTGGAATGAAGATCTACGATCTAGGGGAGTTGAGTGGAGCGAGGGCCAGGCCGGGGCGTAATGTGTGTTGAGGTTTTAATGAGGAAGTGAGAAATTAGCAGGCGCAGCGTCGAACCGATGCGCCTCAGCTGTTTTTCCACTGTCTGATAGTTTTGTCAACCCCCATCACGCGACGGCCCAACCTCGAAACGGACGAAAATTACGATCGTTTAACGAGGTGAGCCGAATTCGAAATACGGTGTACGATATACGAATAGTGGTCACCAAGAAGGGGAAAGAAATAGTCAAGAAGGAACGTTTCGTGCGAACTAATTGAAAAAGGGGGATCGTGGGGCTGATATGGGCATGGAGAAATGAAACGTCAAGAGAAATATGATTAATTAAGACGTTAAAAATTATCGTCGTCTAGGGTCGTTAGGGTAGACGTTCACAACTATCGTGCATTGCTGAGATAAATGCTTGTTCGACACTTCTTCTTCTTCTTTTTCTTCTTCTTTTAAAGGCGTTTTTAATTTCTTTCTTTTTTTTTTATATAGTATATATATATATATATATTTCATTTTCCTTCCTTTTGGATTAAGATGGATCGATCGTATCTTCTACTCTTGAATAATTGTTTAAAAAAGAAGCGATTCGTTCCGTTCGTTTTGATAGATCGATTTGTTGCAATCATTGCTGAATCGTTCGAAGCAATCGAATCGAATTGCCACCAAATGTTTATTAATAACTTATTTATCTAATGCTGGAGGTCCCTTTCGTTCTAGACTTTTCAGACCATTTGACCTGTGATACCCTCCAATACCATCGTAATCGTATACACATATACATGTATGTATACATAACAATTATTGACCAGTCGCGCGAAACGAGATTTAATCGATGTTTCGAACGGTTGTTTCCCTTTTTTCGTTTTTTCTTTTCTTTTTCTTTTTTTTTTAGATTATTGAATTTAAGGTTAAAATGTTAAAATTCTTATAAAAGAAAACAAAGTGATATTCCGTAATATTTTTATTACAACTGTTCCATATTTCTGTTCCTTTCTAGATACTATCACTTTCGAACAAAAAGCAAATATCCAATTTTATTTATAAAATTGATTTCGAGATGATAAAACTGTTGGTTAACGTGCAGGTGCATGACTAATCCCTCGTAGAATTAATCTTTCTATAGCGAGCTTATTATTCTAAAATGTCGAGAGGGTATCATTTATATGCGGCGCCTCTCCAATGCGGCAGAGTGTCGATCAGCCTGACAATTGGTAAATGGCTCTCTTGTATCTCGAGATACGATGTTGAAATAACGATTTTACGAGGTGCAGCAGCTGTTATACACGATGCAGTTATTGGTAATAAGAGCCTATCTAAGGATTTCGATTTTCGATCGAAAACGCGATCAAACGTCAATTATCTTTTATAGAGAAATTAAAAATATATATTAAAAATAAAATATACAGATTCATCTCGTCGAAGAAGAAGAAATTATAAAAACAACGATTAAAAATGAACTGGAAAGTCTAGACAAAACTATTATAAACTTGCTCTTCCTGAAGTTCTTGAAACCATTGAACATGCCATATCGGTCTTGTGTATTTACATTTCGTCAAGCACGCTTCCTTTCAAGATGTTCTCAAGGAAACGAGTCTTGCAAGATATTTCCAGTTCGTCAGTCGATTCGGCAACCGGATGGAATTTTTGTTTATCCTATCCACAAACTCGTACCCTCGTCGAAAATGCAACGACAAAACGATCGACGCGATTCGATTTATTATTAAATAAGATCGTTGTGTTAAACGGGTTAATAAATAAATCAAATAATGACGAGTAATTTTCTATAACGTGATAACATTGATGATCTTCGTTTATCGGAAAAAAAGATTAAGATTAATCGAGGGACGTATCAGGCGCCTGAGCGTAAAAAATTTCGTACGATCACGATTTCCATAGCAAATAAGCACGCGCGCTCTCATGTTCTTGATTCTTCGTGTTCTTAAGCTCTTTTCCTCGTCCTCTTCTTTTCCATCTTCTTCGACCGGCTTGTTGTCGCCGACAAATGCCCACATCCTCTCGCGCAGAAAGTTAATGCGTTAAACTTCGGTTCGCAAATCCATGCTCGGCACGAACCGACCGGCTGTCTTATGAACGTGGGTGTCACTTGAGGCACGTGCCTCGTACCGTCCATCTTTTAAAATACGACAACCAGATGTTCCAGTTAGTATACTTCAATGCCAAAATTATGCAGCGTGCCATCATTTCTTCGTTTCTCGATTCGATCATCCGATATATCGAGAATTAACGAATTAACGATCAAGTGGAAATGGGGGGTATGCTGTCTAATTCTACTTTGCATAAACGTTTGCGCTTGCATTTATATATAAACTGAATATATATATATATA